TGTGGACTTACACCTCCATAGGTACAGGGCTTAGCTCTTCCTCTTGTTGAACTTCATGAGGTTCCTGTGGTCTTATTTCACCAGCCTGTTGAGGTCCCTCTGGTTGGTAGCACAATCTTCTGGTGTATCAGTCACTCCTCCCTGTTTTGTGTCATCTGCAAACTTGCTGAGGCAAGAGTGCCGAGTGTACACTCTGCCTCATCATCCAAATCCAAATCATTAATGAAAATGTTAAGCAGCATTGACCCAAGTGTCCACTCCTGGGGCACACCACTGGATGCTTGCCTCCAGCTGGACTTCGTGCTGCTGATCACAAGATTTAGAGCCCAGGAATCCAGCCGGTTTACAGTCTACCTCAGTGTCTGCTTATCTAGTCTGTACTTCATCCATTTGTCTGTGAGACTGTTACAGAAGAGAGTGTCAAAAGCCTTGCTAATGTTGAGATAAATGACATCCAGGTCTTCCTTGCCTTGGACTTCCCACACGTCTGAGGGCCCCCCAGATACCTTAAGAACTATCTTAGTTTGGGACAACATTAGCAGTAAAAGCTGAGGTGAAAAAGGCATTCAATGCCTCAGTCTTTTCTGTGTCCTTTGTCACAAGGGCTCCTGCTCCATGCCTCAGCAGGCCCACATTTTTCCTACTTGTCTTTTTACTGCTGTGGTACCTGTAGGAACCCTTCTTGTTGCCCTTCAGGTCCCTTGTCACGCTCAACACCAGGTGGGCTTTAGCTTTCCTAAACCCAACCATGCATGTTTGGAGATGTTTTGCCTGGTGTCTCTGTGTTCTTCTGCACTATGGATGGTGGTAAGGGAGAGGAAACCTGGAAGGAAACCAAGTAATTGTGACTGGCACAACCTGAAAACAGAGAAGAGGGAAATGAATGTTTGAAAACCCTGCAGGGAACACTGAGCAGAGCCACCTGGCAGATCCCACCACCCCAGAATGGGTCTGCAGAGGTAGTGGATTCCCAGGGCTCTGCTTGGTGCTGCAAGCAGATGGGGAGTAGAGGCAGCCCTGCTACTATCAGGATCTCCTCATCCAGATCCCTTTTCCTTTGGAAGTGTGAGCTTGTGTGACTAGGGCCAGGAGGAGGCTGATGAGGAGGTCCTGCAGTGTGGTGGAGCCTTGAATGGGGGGAGGTGGGTGTAAAGTGCAGCCAGAGCCTCAGCAACTTTGCAATAGCTGAAAAAAGTTATTTGTACACCAGGGTCTCTTGCTTGCCATGGAAAGATGGGGGAGAAGGGGATCCCATGGAGGTACCTCTGTCTTCTGCTCTTGTATCTTCCTGTGGCCCACAGAGTCAGGTCTGAGGATGCTGCAGCCCCCCGCTGCCCCCAGCAGTGAGAGGACCTGCCTCCTAGTATCGGGGTGGTAGGCAAGGATGGGGCATGGAAAAGGGGAGATGAACATGGAAATGAGTCACTGTGGCGTGGCTTGGGCAGACTAGTTTGATGTGAAATTAGCTGAAGTGGAACGTGGGGTTCACCTGGGAGCTCAAAGGCAGGGGCAGCTCTGCTGCAGGATTCACCCAAGATGGGAGAGGATTCAAGGTGAGCTTGCTTCCAAGAGTGAATGGTGGGAAATGCTGCTGGTGGCACAAGTGGCCATCTCTGCTCTCTGCCAGGAAGCTTTTTCCGTTCTGCGAGGAAGCTGTTTTGAGTAACTGACAATCTTGTCTTGTCTGCCTTTGTTGTGGTGCTTTCCACTCTCCTTCTTGAGAGGAAGGAGCTGAGATGCCTCTTGTTCCTCTGGCCAGTCCCCAGGCTCCACCTTCAGCCCTGAATGGCAGACATGGCATGCAGTCATACTGTCTCTCCCAGGAACAAATACAGCGTTGTGTCTAGCAGAACGAAGAGTGGAGGGCGGTCAAGATGGCTGCAGTACCAGATGAGGAGTGAATGAACCAACCCCTTCCTTCCAGGAAAGTAGAGGAAGGAGGAGGAAAAGTAGTGACTGGAATACCTGCTGCTTTATGAAAAAAACCAAGGAAGAGGCTTCCTTCTGTAGACTGAGACCCATTCTGTCCTGCCATGCAAGCGCAGGAGCTGAGCGAAGAGGTTGGGCCAGGATCTGCTGGTGGAAAAAGCACTACCAGTGGCCTATGACTGGTTCCTACATTGTCCTAACAGCAGTGGGAGGGCAGATCTGGTCAAGCTGCCTGAAGGCAGACTGCACCAGGGACCTGCTCAGGGGATAAGGGTTTCTGTCCTCCCTTTAGTACCTGTACACCCACCTACCCATTCGGTATTGGTCCTCTATTTATCTACAACACAGCATTTGGTTGTAGATCTCTGGTGGAGAACTTCTAGGAATGATGACCTCTTTCCTCGGCAAGGATCTTCTTGTAGGCTCCGTAGCTGGCACTGTCTGAGAGCTAGGATCTGCCAGAGCCCCGGCCGTGCTGTTCTTGTTAACAGCCAGCTGGAAAATCATCTCTTGCTGAGGAACCACATCTTACCAGCTGCACAGCCTGTAGCAGACAGGCTGTACACACAGGGGCTGATTCTACCCAGTGAAGATGTGTCCTGGTTGGAGGTAAAACAGAACCAATTTTCTTGCAAGTAATTTCAGTTAAGTCTCTTCTCAATAACAGCATTCTCGGAAATTGATGGCATATTTTTCACACGGTATCCACTTCTGGCAGGTAAGGGCTGATGTTTGCAGCAAATACTAAGGAACAGGATGCAGAGGGGCTCTTGCTTATACTTATTGCTGTAACAACCAACACCAGCTAATTTCTTTATTTGCCACTTTGGAGGGTCAGAAATGGAAAAGCGCAGAGGGGTCCCACCTGCAGGGAGGAGCAGACAGGACAGGTGACCCAAAACTGACCAACAGGGTATTCCATCCCATCTGCCCCATGCTCAGTATAAGCAAAGGGGTCAGTCTCCTTCTTAAGTGGTCAGCATCCGAGGTAGTTTGTATGGGATGTCAGTATTTTGCTCTGTGTTCCTCCACTCCGTAGGAGTGATATCACAGTAATGAATATCTCCTGTGTGCGTGGTGACTCCTTTCTGCAGAGCAGTCTTGAACCTCCAGACCACATACTCTCTCCCACTTCAAGAGCAGTTTAGCTAGAGGTTCCTTGGAACCAGGCAGTTAATTTCCTTTTGGAAAGATAATGTTCTTGCTATAGGAAGGAGCTGCGCATCCAAACAATATAGTGATTTTTTTTTCCTGTTGGGACTAAACCTAACCACTAAAGCTGTAATGAGCACAAAGCTGCTTGAGAACACTGTGCTTCTGGGGCTGTTTGAGGAGCTAGCCAATTGCATATAACCTCAGCTTTCCTTCTGCCTGTCCACATCCCTTCTTCCAAGATTATCTTCCCAGGGTCGCTGCTTTATTTTTCAAATAACTTGCATTGCTTCATTTTTGTTTGGGATAGGCAGCTCTCACTGTATCACAGATCCTTTGTACCTGATGTTTTCTGCACAAGAAATTTAGTCAGCTAAGAATACGGACAAATGCAGGGTTAACACAGGTAAAACGTACCAAGGTAACAGTGAGCAACAAAAATGACTGTGAAAGCAACTGGTGATCCGCCAGGACTGATTTTTAATAGGCATGTGTATTTGTCCAAGGTGGGTTTGGCTCTGAGCTGTGTCAGTAGATTGGGAGGAGGCAGGGAATTGAACAGAGCTTGCATCCTAGCGCTATTCACAGCCCAAATCTTCCAGTGTGACGTGGGATGTGAGCTTTCTGGATCTTGGTGTTGATGGGTGCTTGTAAACCTCCAGTTTGACTGCCCCGTATCACGCAATATGGATTCCTAGCATTTAATAGTTGTTCCAGGAGGATGCAATACTGTGCCAGCAGCAAGTACGTTTTGGTTTAGGGCGGCTCAGACCCCTGCTCGTCAGGTGGTGATGCACGTGGCTCCCTGCTATTGTGTGCATGCTTCCCTTCAGACGCTTACCCATGTGAGTGAGCAGTCTAAGTCTTGCTGTAACTCAAAGGCTGCTTGTCTGAGCTCCCCTCTCAACTGTTGCTGATCCAGCATTACTGATATTAGCTATTCACCGAGGGCACATTAAACAGATTGATACAGGGCAAAACCAAGCCCTGCCCTAGTTTTTGCCCATACTCCCAGCTGATTATGTGGGGCTCTCTTTCACCCATAACCTTCTTGGTTGATCTGCAGTTCTTTTCCTTTGGGCAGTAGGATCTTCTCACCATCCCCGCCATGTGCCTTTTACTGTCTAGGTCTTGTGGAAAATGCAGGGGTTAATAGTCTGAATTGCCTTTTCTGCCCAACACTGGTAGTTGGCTATTTGGAATCGGTTGCAACAGTTCCATTCAGCTTCACTGCTCTCTGTGGGAAGGGATTCTTGTGTCTAGCATGCTTTATGTATCCCATTTAAACACCGTTTAAAATGCAGTCTGTCAGAGTGCTGTGGTGCAGTTATAAACCAGACATGCGGAACGTCATTGTTAGTGGAGAAAAAAACACAAGAAGTGACTGTAACTATTTCTATGATCTGGCAAACCTCTTTTTTTCCCCCTCCTGCGAGCAAAATTTAGGCTGGTTTTTGGTTCTGAACCACCTCAGGGCTAAATGAAGCATGTGTCCAGACTGGCTCCTTCACTCTTCATCTTTCAGGCTTTCCTCAACCATGATGCCATATCTTTTATTCTTCCTGAGGTCTGTGCTACTGGGATTCATCTCCTCTTAAACTTAGTGCCATGTGGCCCTGCCCCGGCAACAGGGACTGCTGATGCTTGCCCAACCCAGCTGGCTGGTGTTGGAGAGAGATGTCTTCTCTCCCTTGCGCTGTCTGCTTTCCATCAGAGATGTGTGATGGGTGCCGAGACAGGTCATGCCAAAGGGGTGAAGGCCAGCAGAGAAAAACGTGGCTGCTGCTTGCTGGCTGAGGGCTGCTGTGAGGAGCCCAAGTCGGGAGGGAGAGCTTGGGGAGAGAGGAGCAGGGATAGGGGTCTGCAACCTTGCTGGGACGGCTGGTTCCTTATGTCATGGCGTGTTTCTCCCCTTGCAGATGTCGTGGCACCCGCAGTACCGCAGCTCCAAGTTCCGCCACGTGTATGGTAAAGCCGCCAGCAAGGACAAGTGCTACGACTGCGTGCCCATCACCCGCAACGTCCATGACAACCACTTCTGTGCTGTGAACCCCCACTTCATTGCGGTGGTGACCGAGTGCGCGGGCGGGGGGGCCTTCCTCGTCATTCCCATCCACCAGGTGAGCTCTGCCCAGGCCAGCTGGCTTTCATGAGCGTGTCGAGAGGCTGGAGGAGAGCTGGGCTTTCTAGGGAGCTAGATTGCACAGGTGATAGTCAGCTAATGCTGAATTTGCTGGAATTGCAAAATGATGGAAGGGCCCCCAGAGCCCTGGCAGGTGATTCTTAGGATGCGTTTACTCTTATGTCTTACTTTGCTACTTGCAGTTTTTTAACACCTTCCTTCATTTCCTATCTAATTTGCCTTTCTTGTATAATCAGCAGGAACTGTGTTGCTCAGATATTTGTCTCCTAGGAGAAATTGCAAATAAAAAAGCAGTTAGTAGATACAGAGGGCAAAAACTGAAGGGTGCTTTAGTGGCAGGGCTTCAGCTGTGACCAAAGGAGAATATACTATGTTTTGCTCTACCTCTCCTTTGTGGAAGAATGGAGACACAGTTATCAGGCAATGAAGCTCTTAAGCTTCAAGCACTGATACTGGAAAAGCTTCCCTTTCAGAAACAAATCCCATGTTTATGGGTTTTGATGACTTACGGATCTGATGAGAGGGAGAAGCTGGCTGTCTGATGTTTATTGCTTCAGAAAAATTAGGCATGCACTAATGTGGATTAATGTCAATATAAGATTATGAGCTCTCTGGAATCAGGGCAGAACAGATGAAAGGCAAAAGTTCAGCCTTTAATTAAAAGTTAATTGATGGTGTTACTGCAATGTCACTTTTTCAATGTATATTTGCTAAGGATGAAAGTGAACTGGCTATGCTTGAAGAACCTAGCACAGTTCCCGGCCCTTCTAGACTTTGTTTATTCAGCTCCTTCAGTGCTGGTGCTCTTCAGAGACAGTCCTTCTAAAGTTAACCACTACCTTGTTTTTCTTGACTGAGTCACTTCTGCCCCCTCGACCATGATCAGTTGAGGCTGAAGAACTTGTCTTTATCACAGGGCTGCATCTCTAAGCAGGCAGCTGGTGACTGTGGGACATGGGGTGGGACTCGGCTCTCAAAGAGTTGGCAAAACGGGCTGAAGGTGCTTGCACTGCTTACTATTAATTCTTCTATTCTCACCTCTTCTCTGCTTGGCTAGTCTTTAGTAGCAGTTCTTCCATTCTTAACACCTGCTCAGATACTCCACCCAGATTTGAAATGCTGCTTGCAGAAGTCAAAGGCAAGGTAGAACTGGAAGATACACAAAAGGATAATTAAAGTACGTCAATGAAAATGTGAAATTGCTTTCATGTGAGGAAAGACTTTGTGGGTAAGGCCTCAATGAGTCTGGGAAAAAATGACAAATAAGCGAAATATATAAAACTGTGAAGAGCGTGGTGAAGAAGTGTAAGGAGCAATTCTTCTGGATTTGTGTAGTGAAGGGTATCCAGGAGACCAGGGAGCAAACTGTCAGCAGCAGATGTGAATGCTTCTGGAGTTCACATGTGGAGCTCACTGCTGTGAATGTTGATGAGCCCAGAAGAATTAAGGGGTTCAAATCAGGGTGGAGTTATTGAGAGGGGTTGGTTTATGAACAGTATTTGTTCAGATGCGGGTCCCCTAGTTCAGGAAATCCCCTGAGGGTTGACCTGTGGTGGTGGATCATGGAAAGGATCTGTAAGTGCTGGGCTTCATACAGCTGTTCTCCGAATACCTATTCCTGACCCATCATGATGGGGGGAGAGCTGCCTCGGCCACCCACAGAAAGGAGTTCCCCGAGTCTGAGGGTTGTTACACTGGTTACTTTTTTTATCATTATATACTTCCAAGCTGGTGCCACCTGGTGAAAAGTGACTGCTTTCAACTTGTGCTCCTGGTGGTGGTATTTGTGGCTACCACCCACTCCCGTGGTGGTGACCCATGGTAGACAGTCTGCTGGGCTCTTGGCCTGTCCCCAGGCCTGCCAGGGCACCAAAGGCAGCCTGGTCTGGAGACTTGTGCCTAGGGCAGTATTGCCCTCTCAGGATGGACAGCTGATCTGTGGTTACTTTTGACTGGATTCACCGGGAGCAGCCACATTCCAAGCATGCCATAGTGTGGAGGAAAAGCTCAAGAGCCAGAAGGTGTGTAGTGAAAGCGATAGATGGTAGCCAGGACAGGGAAGGCTGCGCTTTCTTGGGGGGCTGAATAACCTGCTCGGGGAGCTGCTTTTGGCCCCGCCATCCTTTTTTGAGTTCATTCTGGGTGTGCTGCTGGAGGGGCTGCTTGCCTCAGGACATGCTCGAGTGCAGGCTCAGCCTTGCTCTGTTTAGCTGTGCCTTTTGGCTTGTTTGTTGTGCTCCTCTCCTGCTGAGTCGTGGACACCAAGCTGTCTCATCTCTCCTTGAATAGATACCACTTCTTGCCTTCTGCACCATTCTTCTCTGAGTGCCCAGGTGTGAGGTGGGGTTGAGAGTAGCAGGGGTTGTGTAGGAGAGGAGCTTTTTGCCATAGATATCCACCTTTGAGCAGGCCTTTGCATTCAACCTGAAGAGGAGTTAGTTGAATATTTGCCACTGCTTGGAGAATGGTCTTCTCTTGCCGGATGTGTCAGTTAGGTCCTCATGAAGGAGTGACGTTGATGCCAACTGGGTGGAACAGCACCACATCTCACCAGGGAGGGAAGTGGCTGTGGCCCTGGGGGCTGCCTGGTGCCCAGAACAGACTTGGGTGCCATCGTAAATCTAGCACGTCTGAGGAGACATGGGCTCGGTGACTCTGGGAGATGAGCTGCTTTTGCACGGGGTGGCCTGGGTGTAGGTTGCTGTCTGACACAGATGTGTTGGGGGAAGCACATGAATCGCATTCCAAGGAAGAGAGAAATGTCTCTTTTGCTGTGGCCTTCCTTTCAAAGACAAAGGTCTACCTTTTTCCTTCTCCGATGCCCAGAGGCATCGGTTGAGGCTGCATATGTCTCTTCCTTTGCAGCATAAAGCAAAGGGATAGCAAAATGAGAACAAAGGGAGAGACAGGGAAGACATTTGTGTCTGAGTCCTTGCAGCCTCCCGCCTTTCAATGTGCCAGCAGCAGGTGTGAAAGGGAGGACATCTGTGGTTGTCTAGACCTAGACACAAACCCAACTCCCTTCTTTCTGGGGGCAAGAGCTATGAAATGAGGTTCAACCTGTGATGACCCCAGTGGTGCCGCATGTGAGTGCTGCACTGCGTTGTGGTGACACTGGAGAACATCTGAGAGGGGGGGTATTCCGCCCTGTGCAAATCTGCTGGGAGAGTTTTAACAGCTGTCCCATTAGGGGTGTTTTTTTGTCAAGGAAATTCGAGCTTGGCTACTTTTCAAAAAACATGGGAGTTTAGAAAGTGAGTGGTTGAAAAATTGCCCATTTTCAAGCCCTGCAAATAACTGTGGAAGTCAGGTACGTCTGCATGAATGACAACACACCTAGTTACTGAAACAGTTTTTGGTCTGTGGAATGAAATGTCCCCTGAACATGACGACCTTTCCTTCCCCATGCAGATGTGCACCTGAGTCTAACAGCCCTGCCTGTCACGTCTGCTTGTTGGCAGCCAGGAGGTTCATGTGCAGTGGGTCCTGCTCTGTCCCAGGGCTGCAGAGTTGAATTGGGGAAAGGTGGGGTTGGTGGCCGGGAGGACAAGGGCTCCTTCTCCAGGGCCAGCTGAGCCTGCTGGGGACGTGGGGGTGGGAGAGCCTTGCGGGATGGGGCAGGCAAAGCAGGCTCGGGGCAGCCTGGGAGTCTCCCAAACGGAGCGGGGAGCAGACAGGCAGCCAGCTCTGGGAGGGGACGGAGTTCCCATAGGGATCAAGGGATCCCTGTGGAGCTGGCTGCCCGGCCCATTGAGTTGCCAGCTTGAAACCAAGCCCTGGAGCCTACAAAAGGACACCGTAGGCGGGGGAACGCTGCTTATTAAAGGCCTTTTATCTCTTCTGCCTTCCCAAGTCACTTTGCATTGTCGCTGTTATAAAAGGGAATTGTTTTAGGCTGTAGTCTAAAAAAGCACAGTCTTTTACATTTCAAAGCCCTCTGGGTGTTCAGTTTAAAGCAGGTTAGTCCCAGCCTATGTGACAAACTTTCCAGTGAAGCCAGAATAGTTGCATATTGTGTCCTGTTCTGCATTCAAAACCGTACAAATTTTCAAGGCTGGGAAAATGACGTCCTAGCTACATCCAGGTTAGAGCCAGCACTGATTTCCTTGTGCTGTGCTCTCCTAAGGCCCACCTCTGCAGAGCTGCAGGGAGTACACCAACAGAAGTGTGTGCTTTCCAGGAGAGCACGCATTTGCATTCATTTTGATTTATAGTTCTTCCAGGTGGGATAAAAGTAAGCAGGTAAGCATCACCACCTTGCCACCACGTCTCTCTCCTTAGGTGGCTGACCTTTGGACAGATGTCTGGGTTGCAAAGTGCTTCATGGAGCTCCCTATACTTCTTCTACTCCTGACAGGGAGAAGCAAGCGCTGCTCCAATGTTGAATTATCCAGCACCCTTCCTAGCACATAATAAATACACTTGGTAGCAGAGACTGAGCCTGCAGAATGGGTTTATCCTGGTGCGACACAGCCCCCGTGTGGCACAAGGCCCTCGGTACTTAGTGCACTTTGTGCCGGATTTTTACCAGTGAAGATACTGTCCAATCATGGTAATTTTCTGGGGAGCCGGGGGTGAGGAGTCCAGAATGCTGATTGAATCCGGTTAATGGCTGGATTTGAACACCATGAGAAAAAAAACAGATAGCTTGTTGAAAGAAAAATCACATTTGTAATTTGTGTCACAAATGTCTTTTTGCTTAAAAAATGAAATGAATGCCAGTGATAGGGCTAAAAAATAAAAGCTAACCCATACTTTTTTCCTGCTTATAGGAAATACCTTCTGAAAGAGATTCTGGGTTTGTTTTCCTCAAGATCTTTAAAAAAATGTGGAAGATTTAACTAATTTGTGTTTACCCTCTTAAGTTTTATTCTGGTGTCTGGACCAAATACTGTCTTCTAACTTCAGCAGTCTTGCTGCATGTGTACAGATTTCTTGATAGTGGTGTGTACGCTTTCCTTTCTTTTCAATGGTATCATGAAGACTTACCTTGCAGGTAAGTCTTGCAGGGACAGCAAAACCCTGTTCTCAACAGATAGAGAGCACCCAGGGCATTTGGAGCATAACAAGCAGAAAGAGGTTTCTTGCTGGAGCTGGCTCTGATGTTCCTTGAAAATTTCCTGTAGTTCCATGGCTCACCTTAGGTTTGATAATATTTGGTTTTTTCCAGACAGGCAAGCTCGACCCACATTATCCCAGAATATGTGGGCATAAAGGGAATGTTCTGGACATCAAGTGGAACCCGTTCAATGACTTTGTCATAGCTTCATGTTCAGAAGATGCCACAGTAAGTTTACCAACTTCTACTCTGCGTTATTACCTGGCTAATGTGCTTTTTGGGAAAAGAAATAAAAAAGAAAACAAAAGGCCTATGCATGACATGTGAAAGTATATATATATATTTATAAAAATTCAGGTAAGAGTAAGAATCCTCTGAGGTCAGACCTGTGTGATCCCTTCCAAATGATGAACCAGAGTCAGTGTGAGGAGGAAGATCTGTTTTGTGGGAGCTTGCATCTTCTTGGGTGTGTTTACATGAGAAAAACAGAATATGAATTTATAATGGAATGACTATTCAAGTTTAATCACTGTGAAACTCTTCCTTTACTTTAGAATAAAAGCTTCAACAAAACACAGTCTGGAATTTCAGATTAATTCCCTGCAGAGCAAGTTTGAGCTTGTTCCGGCACTCAGTTGCTCTGTAAAGTCATGCAGGATCAGTTTTGGGGTAGCTGAGGAGTCTGTGTCATGCTATTCTGCAAAAGGCATAAATGAAAATGAACATAAAAAAATGAGCATTTTCCTACTGAAATTGCAGAAGGACTCCAGAGATGCAAAGGTTCATGCTCATGCAAACCTATAAAAAAGTACTGGATACGTCACATCCAGTCAATAGGCAATAAGTGGTTTGGCTGAGGTTAGTATAATTAAGATGCAGTCACATATTTTACTTTAGTGAAGGTACAAGCTAGTTATTAGGAACTGAAAGATTCAATTAATGTTTATAAGGGACAGTTTAGCCCATATCTACCCATTGAAAGGTTGCTTTCCTCGTCCTGTCAAAAGTGTGATGTTGAATTCTATGGTAGTGAGGACACCTGACTAACTACTGTGCTCTTTTCCAGACATCCCAGAAACATTTTCTCCCACTGGGTATAATCATCCTCTACCACACAGCGTAGTGGAAGTTTTCCTTGTTGTTTCCTCCGGCCCTGGCTTGGTGAACATCCTCTGCCATTTCAGCTCTGCCAAAAATCACTGGAAATCGAGGATCTTTGAGTTGTCCTTCCTGTTTAGTGACTTGCCTTTGCTTCTTTGGATATTCATGTCTTTTTTGAAGGCTTCTTTCAGTTTCTGGGCTGCCTATGAGCAACCTGTATGCTAGGTTTTCATGCTGTCTCAGAAAGGACTTGCGGCAGGAAGTCACCACCATGACCTCTCTTTTGAGCCTCTGATGAGGAATGAACCCCAGCTTCGAAGCTTCCTGCTGTAGTTACAGAATCACAGAACTGTTTGTGCTGGAGCTTAGGCGGTCTCTCTACCTCTGCCTCCACCTCCTATGCAGGTCTGTGGACCTGAGTCTTGAAAATCTCCAGGTAAGAGTAAGAATCCTCTGAGGTCAGACCTGTGTGATCCCTTCCAAATGATGAACCAGAGTCAGTGTGAGGAGGAAGATCTGTTTTGTGGGAGCTTGCATCTTCTTGGGTGTGTTTACATGAGAAAAACAGAATATGAATTTATAATGGAATGACTATTCAAGTTTAATCACTGTGAAACTCTTCCTTTACTTTAGAATAAAAGCTTCAACAAAACACAGTCTGGAATTTCAGATTAATTCCCTGCAGAGCAAGTTTGAGCTTGTTCCGGCACTCAGTTGCTCTGTAAAGTCATGCAGGATCAGTTTTGGGGTAGCTGAGGAGTCTGTGTCATGCTATTCTGCAAAAGGCATAAATGAAAATGAACATAAAAAAATGAGCATTTTCCTACTGAAATTGCAGAAGGACTCCAGAGATGCAAAGGTTCATGCTCATGCAAACCTATAAAAAAGTACTGGATACGTCACATCCAGTCAATAGGCAATAAGTGGTTTGGCTGAGGTTAGTATAATTAAGATGCAGTCACATATTTTACTTTAGTGAAGGTACAAGCTAGTTATTAGGAACTGAAAGATTCAATTAATGTTTATAAGGGACAGTTTAGCCCATATCTACCCATTGAAAGGTTGCTTTCCTCGTCCTGTCAAAAGTGTGATGTTGAATTCTATGGTAGTGAGGACACCTGACTAACTACTGTGCTCTTTTCCAGACATCCCAGAAACATTTTCTCCCACTGGGTATAATCATCCTCTACCACACAGCGTAGTGGAAGTTTTCCTTGTTGTTTCCTCCGGCCCTGGCTTGGTGAACATCCTCTGCCATTTCAGCTCTGCCAAAAATCACTGGAAATCGAGGATCTTTGAGTTGTCCTTCCTGTTTAGTGACTTGCCTTTGCTTCTTTGGATATTCATGTCTTTTTTGAAGGCTTCTTTCAGTTTCTGGGCTGCCTATGAGCAACCTGTATGCTAGGTTTTCATGCTGTCTCAGAAAGGACTTGCGGCAGGAAGTCACCACCATGACCTCTCTTTTGAGCCTCTGATGAGGAATGAACCCCAGCTTCGAAGCTTCCTGCTGTAGTTACAGAATCACAGAACTGTTTGTGCTGGAGCTTAGGCGGTCTCTCTACCTCTGCCTCCACCTCCTATGCAGGTCTGTGGACCTGAGTCTTGAAAATCTCCAGGGATGGAGGTTTTACCACCTCTCTGGGTAACCTGTTCCTGTTCTTCACCGCTCCCATGGAGAAATTTTTTTCCTTCAGAACCTCCCCAGTGTAGTTAGTGACTACTGTATCCTGTCCTCCCACCCTGCACTTCAAGACAGCTTGGCTTTCTTTTCTCTGTAATATTGTAAGCATTGAAGGCTTCCATCAGATCACCCTGAAGCTGTCTCCTCTCCAGGGTGATCAAGGCCATCTCCTTCAGCTTCTCCTCACACAGCATTCTCCTTCTGAGCATCTTGGTGGCCTCCAGTGGACTCACTTAAGTTTATCAGCACCTTTCTTGCACTGGGAGGTGCAAAACTGGATGTAGTATTCAAGCTGTTGTTTAATGATTGCTGAGTAAAGCGGAAAATCGCTTCCATTGATTTAATGGCGACCTTCATGTTGTCCCAGACCAGGACGTTGCTAGCTTTCATTCCTGCTAGGGGATGCTGCTGGGTCATATTTGTTCTATTGTCCACCAGAACCCTGAAATCTATGCAGAAGAGCTGGTCTCTGTCAGCTTTCTTTTCCAATTTCCTACTGAAACTTGGCACTGAATCATCCTCCAGGCTAAAGAATGGGAACGCTGAGCTTGGCGCTGGTCTCAGCATCAGAACTTGTTCTGAGAAGTATTGCTGTTTGTGATTGTACTCTCTTTTTTGGTGCTGCCTTCTCATCATCCTCCTGGCACCAGGAAATGGGATCTCAGGTGTTCCCTGCACAGTGATACAGTGTAGGGACATCCCCGCTAAGTAGTGAGGACAGTAGAGTGTGTTTCTTAGTGTAACTGTCTTTTCTTATACCTGGTAGCTAGAACTGGTCACTTAGGTGAGGTCACTAAGGTCACTTAGTCCAAGCCCTGCTTAAAGCAGGCCAGTAGAATCATATTGCTCCAAGCCTTGTCCAGATGAGTTGGGAAAATCTCCAAGGCTGCAGATCTCATGGCCTCACTGGACCCTTTTTCCAGGGGTTGAGTACCCTTCTGAAAAATTGGGATCCTCTGATCTCCAAGGAGTGCCTATATTGCCATTTGTGTTCATTGCCTTTGGTGCTCTCCTTGTGCACTTCCAAAGAGTCTGGCTCCATCTTGTCTGTGCGTTCTGCAATGTTGTTGAAGGGTAGGCCGAAGACCTCACCTTTGCCTTCTCCCTCCTGGACTAAACAATTTTTTTTCTTTCCAGCTCTCTTCAGGTTTGCTGTGCTCCTGTCCGCTTCTCATCTTAGTGGTGCTGCTGTTGGACTCACTCCATGGGGTCAACATCTGTTATGTCCTGGCCTGTACTGGAGAGCTCAGATTAGACATACTGTTGGGACCTCTCCATAGCAATAATTTACCCTAAGAGAAGTCTGAGGAAGTTTTTGGGGTCCCAGAGGTATCCACCACTTCCACTGCACTGGACATTAGAGCCAAAGCCTTCTTTGCAGTCTGTTGTTAAAGGCCTGATGCTCTCTGCCATTTCTGAGCATTAACATATGCCACTGTTCTGGCTTGAGTGCAAGGATGTATCTGATTGCTCTTACTGGGCTGGGTCTCCCTGGAACTTCTGAGGAAGGCCACGTGCTTCTTTGAAGATGGTGGAAATTTCCCATCACGCACATTCCTCAGAATTTTCTTGGCTGTTAACCAGCCTTTCTGCAGATTGCCTTGGTGGCAGCACACCTATCTCTTGTGGATATAGCTGAAGCACATAGAGTGGTACTTTTGGGCACAGGAGGTAATGGATGGTCTCTATGAACACGCCGTGCCCTTTCCAGTTCACACTGCTGCTTCAGGCAGGCTAAGGCTGAGGCCAATGCAAGTGGCCAGGGGCTGAGAGTTTTAACAGTACAGGGAGAGATCTTATCCTCATAACCCTTCTGTTCCTTTTGGCAAATCATCAGGCATGTATGAATTCAGCTTGCTGAAGATCTCCCCCATGGTTAGAGGGACAAGTCTGTGCCTTTCACTTTGCTTTGTCAGGTTTTCTTCAAGGTGTAGCAGGGTAAACAGCTCATGGATTGTTTCTGCTTGGCTTGGGGGGTCTGGCTCCTGGCTGCTTCTCCTGTACACTAAGCACTGGCAGTTTCTGCCATTTAATGCATCCTGCAATTCCAGCCAGGGTCTTTTCCCTGCTTTTACCACCAACCATTTCATAGCATGGGGAGTGAACGGCTCATTCTAAGCAGTTTTTCTCAGTGTGAACACAACCTATTTTTCCCTTTCCTACTCTCTCAGCCCCATTCCTTTAGCGGTAGCTGTTGAAGCTGTAGGGTGTGCTGCTTTCTCTTACTGCTTCAGAAGTTCACCTGGAGGTTACAGGACCTCACAGTCTTTAGGTATCTGAAGGGCTTGATTCCTCAGAGAAGAGTGCTCTTGATCTTTCCCAGCAGGTCTGGGAATTTGTGCCTCTCCTTCTTTGGCTTAGAAAGGTGTGACCGTCGTCAGCCAAACAGTAGGAGACTTGGGCAGGTATGGCTAATTTCCACAAACTATCTGCTTCAGATACCATTTCCCTTTTGCTTCAAATTACACCCTAGAAAAATCATTACAAGCATAGTAATTTTCACTGAACCAAAGGGTTAAGCATCTTTTAGCATTCTAAATACTTTTGCTTCTAGGGTTAGTGTGAGAAAGACTCCTTCATTTTACTTGCATACATTCAGCCCCTTTTGCAGGTTTCCTCTGTTGTCTTCTTCCACCCCAGGACAACAGATGTCTTCATGCAGCATCCTCCTAGAAGAACACAGGGCTGCAGGTAGACCTCTTAGGAGGCAGCGCGCTCCTAGTGTTGAATGACTTCAGTGTGGTGCTGCCCAGTCTCTCTGCTCAGGGCATCTCCTGTGTGGTCACCTGGATGCTTTTTTGTGTACTTTGACAAATGGCTGTCTCATTTGCCAAATCTTCAGCACTGATGCAATTCTCTATGGGATAAACAGTACTATGGCTGTGATCTCACCAGTGGAGTTCTCACTTCTTTTACCAGGTAGTGTTGAGTGGATGAATTGCTTGGATCAGTCACTGTTATCATATCTTCTGGGACTCTTTGCTGAGGTTTTTTTTTAGATTTGCTTGTTCCTGCTCAAAGTTTGTTAGGAGGCAAGGTCAGCAAGATCTGTGGTTTGCGTCTTCCCTGTGGGAATAACTTTTCATAATTGTGCTAACAGCTTGGCCAGGTGTAAGGGTTGAATTGCCCAGTTAAAATAAATTGGTATAACTGCCGGCTAACGATAGAGGGTAAAGAGGAGTCTTCAGGCCCACAGAAGAGTAGAGATACTCATTTAAAAGACTTGCTGTCAGTAAAGCCAGGAGCATTCCTATTCACTACCAAGGGAATAATAATACCAAGAGAATAATAGTTAAATTCCAATTAGCTTCTTCGTCAGGAATCTCATAAAGACTCATCCTGTGCCATTCAGGTTAAAATCTGGGACATCCCCAAGCACTTGCTAACAAAAAATATTACCAGTCCGAAGAAGGAACTTATTGGGCACGCTCGAAGAGTGGGCCTCATTGAATGGCATCCCACGGCTAATAACATCCTCTTCAGCTCTGGCTATGACTACAAGGTGAGTCTGTTCTCTGTGGAGTTGTCTTCCTGCAACACCCTGTTCGACAGTGTGTTTTGAAATTTGTTTTAATTTCAAGCTGTAAAATAATACTAAATAGTTCAGAAACCTTCAGGGGGAAATTCTGTGGTGACCCCAAAGGCAAAAGGACATTGCTACAAGTTCAAAAGGACTTGCAAATTTTCTGGTTTTCTGATGAACTGCGGTCTACTTTGCCCTTTTCCTTTACTGGATTGGATACAGTATGCAATGCACTTTTGTTTGGCTTCATTCTTACGCTAGTGCAAATATCTGCACTGAGGCTGGTCATTTTTATGTATAAAATATGGTTGAAAAGGAAATTAGAATATTGGACATTCTGAGCAGACACTGTGCCCCTAGTAAGTGCCAGGAATTATTTTAAATGCTGGTGAACAGCCACATATGATGGTAAGACATAAATGTGTAGAGAAGAGAGGAAGAAGTGGGTAAACTTCTTCTATAGGGTAAACAAAGTCCCCAGTTGGTCAGGCAGCAAAGGGCTGATTTTTTTTTTTTTCTTTTGCTCCAGATAATGATCTGGAACCTTGACACCAAGGAGGCTGTCATCTCGAATCCTGTGAAGATCCTTGATGCTCACAAAGATGTGGTGCTCTCCATGTCATTCAACACGGATGGCAGTCTTCTTGCCACAGCCTGCAGAGACAGAAAGATACGTCTGATAGACCCGCGTGCAGGAACAGTTCTACAAGTAGGTTGGGTTCAGAGGTTTGTGGTCCAGCCGATCTCACCCCTTGGAGTGTTTCTGGGTAGTGTCTTCTGGGTAGTCTCATTGCCATTAAAGAAGACAAGGCAGCAGATGGTGCTATTGCCTTCTACTTTTTGTGGAACACTTACTACTGTTGAAAACAGGCTTCCTGCATCTTGCTGTCATGCTCCTTGCTCACTGAAACTGTTCTTGAAGTGCACTGTTTTCATAGCTCCCTCCTGCAGTCCTCTGTGGAATGCCTTGGGAAGGCTTATAGAGATCAGGTGGACAGGTGGATGCAAGTGTGCATATATCCCAGTGCCAGGGTTGTTCTTGTTGCCTGTACTTTGTATCTGTTGGTAAGGTGAAGCTGACCACATTTTGTAGGTATGTGTGCAGATTTGTGTACACAGAAAAGTCCTGCTTACAACTAGTAGGGATTGCACTCTTGGAAATATGTGAATCAGCAGTTAGAGATTGACTGAGCTTTTGGGAATGGTCCTGAAGAGTTTGGGCCACCTCTAATGGGTCCCACAAAATCCTGCTCCCTGTAGTTCACCCAGGCTGAGCAGGTCTTTCAGATGGGACGGAATCAGAGGTCTCATGTAACATGAAATGTGGCTACGCAACAGGCGGTGTCTCTTACTCATGCAGTGTCCTTTCTCTTCCTACAGGAAGCCAGCTACAAGTCCCACAGAGTCAATAAAGTCTTGTTCCTTGGAAACATGAAAAAGCTGTTCTCTACTGGAACATCTCGGTGGAATAATAGGCAAATTGCATTATGGGATCAAGTGAGTTGGACCAGCGATCTTAACCATGCCAACTTCAGTTTTCTTGCTTTTACTGTCACTTTAACTTTTTCACCTGCAGAATACCAAATAATTGGTTTTTACAGCAGTTCAGAAGTGATCTGTTAAATTCTTAATAGGTGATATGTCTTATTGCTATGACACTGTTAACTGAGTATAAGTTTCTGAAGAAGCTCTCAAAGGTTTCAGCATAGAAATCCACCAGAACAAAGAGAATGCTGTGCCCACTACTAGAAGAAATAATTCAAAGGACCTTTGGGAAGAAATAATTCAAAGTCATGGTAACTGTGACTTAAAAGCAGCTCTTACTGGTCTTACTGGCAAATTGTTACTGGTAATGGAAAGAGAAATGCAGCCTACTCAGGTGAAGCCCTCAATGGAGAAAAAGATGTGGATGTTTTTGATTTCTGATGATTGCTGACAGTGGAGTATTGAGGTAGCACTTAGTGGTCATTTCTAAGACATGATCTCCTATCATTACGGCTGATAGACTTATGAAACCCAGCTCTCTACCCCTCTCCTCTGCAGTGACATGCTTTTTCTTTGTCAGCATCTCACTTTGTTCCTCCATGTCAACCAGCAGGACAATCTTCTGCCTCTTTGTTGTGCTGTCACCCTTTGTAGCAGACAAAGCTGGTAGACCAGCTCTACGTTTTGCCATTTGGCTGTGCTTGGACATGGCTTGGTTGCACATCTGAGAGGCAAAGCACTGTGCTGCTGTCTGAAGGCTTTCCACAAAGCTGAGCAGTGCTTTGACACACTGTGGGCCTCACATTAGGGTTTCACTGCCTTCAGAGCTGCCAGAGGAGCTCACCAAACTTAGTTTAAGAATAATGGGGCTCAGGGCAGCTGGGCATGGCCTAGGATCACTATAGAGCTGTGCTCACATGCTGCTGCTAGGTGGGGTTCAGATCAAGTGTCCCTGACTTGAGGTGACTGACTGGTGATCACAGCTGTCTCTCTTTCCCGTGTCCTGCCCAGAACGACCTTTCTGTGCCTTTACTGGAGGAGGACCTGGATGGCTCCTCGGGACTCCTGTTTCCCTTCTACGACTCAGACACACACATGCTTTACGTTGTGGGGAAGGTAAGTGCTTTCCATTTCAGCAAATGCTGGCCTGTCTGATTCTTCTCCCAGCCTGTGGTCAAAGGTGCTCCTGAAGTATGTTAATCTGATAGGGGGTGATGGCATGGGGCCTGAGGGTGCTGCAGCATCAGGCCACATTTTCCACTGCAGATGTATCACGTTTACTGTGGGGAGGTACATGCAAAGGAGCCTTCCTACAAAGGAATTTGGGAATAAGTACTTGGTTCATTCTTCACCCTGTGTAGCTTCTGGGGTCAGGCATTCCTCTCAGACCCTCCTTCTGAACAGCAGAGCCTGGCTTATGTTCATTTTCTTTGCCTTTAGGGTGATGGAAATATACGGTACTATGAGATAAGCCCTGAGAAACCATACCTGAACTACCTGATGGAGTATCGTTCTCATTTACCACAGAAGGGAATTGGTGAGTGGCAGTGTGTGTCTAATGCTACAAAAGCATAGCGACTGAGTCAGGTTGTCAGAGACTAGGACTACCCAAAATAACATGTAGAAAAGAGAACGGGTCAGATTCCAGTCTCCACCCTGGTTTAGGTGCACAGAAGTCAGCTTGGCCCAGGTCACCTATATATAACAGATGGTATTACAGGGTCACAGCTTGGAGAGGTCCCTTCTGACCAGCAGAGCGTGGGCTTTACCAGTCACTGCTGCATCCCCTCTCACATACCTGGTCAAGGTGGAAGGGAGGATAGTCTGCATTTAAAGACAAAGGATGCTCCTTGCTCTTTGTGAATCTGCTCCAAGATTTCTGGCATTCAACTCTGTTGACATTGTTTCCACTCTGGGATTTCCCTGGTAATGGGTGTTCCACATCTTAATGCCTTCACTTTTATCTCTTGCCTACCTTCTCCTGTATTGGCATTTCCCATTTAGAGATAGATCTGTTGTGATTAGGTTACAACAGGGATTAGGCCTTTCCTCCGTTGGAGACCCTTACTTATTAACCTGCCCACAAATTACTCACTGTTTAACTCATTTGAGCTATAGAATTTGGCTTTCAGCCCTCAGACGCAATTGGTAGTCTTTTCTTGAGCCTTCACCACTCTCTCCTGTAAGCCATATTCCTCTACAGACTGGTGTGGTTTTAGGACCATTTGCCACCCCTCTGCACTACCTGTGGACACTCCCATTCTTCCAGGACATTGGTACAGATATTTAGCAGCACTAGATTTTGTACTGTTATTGAAAAGGAATAAATTACTTAAAGCTTAGCTAGAAGATCTTTCCATTATTCAGCTTGTATAATCCTTCTCATGTGCAACATCCTGATTTTAATGTCATAGTCTCTTTAAAAATCATTCCATGAAAAGTAAGCGTACAAATGTTTTTGAAAGGCCTTAGTGAATCAAATCTACTTACCTAGCCTGATCTTTTCTGCTGCTCAAAAATACTGCTAAGGTTATTGCAGCGTAGTTTATTTCCCAATATTGCCAAAAAAACCCCCAATATAGAGGAGTGGAGTTTAAATTCACATTTAGATGAATGCATAATGTAAGGAGCAACAGTCCTTCACATAGGATCAATTAGTGAAGAATCCATTTAATGAATTAGAATCAATTTAATGAATGAAATGAAGTCATTGGGGATTAGTGAAAAACAAGATGTCTGTAGGACACTGTGAAGCAAGGTCTCCAAGAAGAGGCAATCTTTTTTGTTAAGGGAATTTACATGGTGGTAGGCTTTGGACTGTACAAGCTCATGGCAGAGAAATCCACTGAGGCTACCAGGTACTTAGAGACCTTGTGTGGCCAGTCCCTGAAACACAGATGGTGCTGTCTGACAGAGTAGATGTTCACACCCTGCTCACGCTCCATTCTGCTTTGGGACAGCGTTGTGGGGAGGATACTGGGCTGGAAGGGCTTTCAGCTTGACCCATGTAGCTATTCTAGTGTTGTTTATGTGTCCTGAAGTCCTTTCCTGCTGGTCCTGGTAGTCAAATCCTGTGGTATCGCTCCCCAGTTCTGCTCAGTCCAGGTAACTCTATTTGCAGCTCATCAGAGTGAATAAGAAACAGGAGGCTTAGCACAAGAACCAAAGACCTGTGGGTAGCTCCATGGCCTGACAGAAAAAAAAATAATTTAATCTTGTCATTTATGCCACTGAGCCAGTTTTTGATGCAGACTTCAGACCATGCTGCTGTGGATCTGATGCTGTGACTTCCGTTGTTTGGTGATGCTTTTTCCATGGTGAATGACATTAACTTTCCTAGGAGATGTATACTCTGTTTCTTTTATGCTATCCCACCAGGAATGATGCCAAAGAGAGGCCTTGAAGTGTCAGCTTGTGAGATTTTCCGTTTCTACAAACTGATCCCAACTAAAAGCCTGATTGAGCCCATCTCCATGATTGTGCCTCGGCGGGTAAGTTCACCTTAGGTCATGTTCACGTCTGGGACAAATATCAGTGAAGAAGAGGGCAGCCCCTCCTTTTTGTGACTCTGGGGACAGGAGATTAGGTAGAATAAGGAATTTTCTTTCTCCTCGTCTGAGGGACAAAGCTGGTCAGTTTGTAGGGCAGCCCTGACAACAAAGACTGGCTGGGTTAGTCAAGAGTTAGGTCTCTGTGTAATGGCCAGATTTCATAGGCATACTCACTGATCTGATCAGCTGGGGTTCAAGAAGGAGTATCTCTGACTGTCAGGTCAGCTAGCTGGCTGTAACCTTCCTCAGTTGGCTTGGCATAATGACGAAAGAGAGGGGTTGGGGATGATGTCGAGTGACATGAAGATCTCCTCATGGAAGGAAGAAGAATCACCCTGGGAAGAGAGGAATGATGGGTTCCCAAGTCTCTACCCAGTGGGTGCAGGTGTGTTACAGACAGTTGTTCTGCAGCATGTAAGACATTACCCATTGCACTTGAGAGTAAGTCTTAGAGCTGGTGGGGCTAGAGAATGACCCAAGTCATGAGTCTGTAACTAACCAAAGTAGCTCCCATGTGACTGTGTGAGTAAAGGTGCATTGTAATTGTCAGCACTGTGTCCTGTACTTCCAGAAGCACTGGAAGATACAAGTGCCTTGAATTCAAGGAAGCGGCAGAGCTAATGCTCATTGCAGCTACCAATTAGACGCGTTCCTCCAACATTATCTCCTTGGCCAATTTTTGTCAGCTGGTGATCAGCTGATGATTTGTGACCTGTGTGCATCATTCATATCCACTTCTTCATACTCAGGAACGCTGAGTTCACGAGAGTTGGGTTAGCCTGTGTCACCAGCCTCCCCCAGTTTGTTGTCTGGATGTGTAAAGGCCTTACTGGCAGGAACTAAAATAGGCCTTCAGATACAATTGTTCTGAGTTGGGGTGACGAGGAGAGAGGCTCAGGGCAGGTGAGAAGATTTTATGTATGTGCTGGTGAGTGCTCATGACACTCGTGTGCTGAGGTGGAACATACTTATTCTCTCCACCACAAACCAATATGGTCCCTGTAAGTTGAAACCTCACTAACATAGTGACTGAGGATTTCTGTTTACTTGCAGTCGGAGTCATACCAGGAAGACATCTACCCTTTGACCACAGGAGCCCAGCCAGCACTGACAGCACAGGAGTGGCTGAACGGAGTTAACAAAGGTCAGCACATGGAGCACTCCCCAGCCCTTCAGCTCCCCAGGGCTTGGGTAAGCTGCCACTGGCTCTCTGGCCTTTAACTGCCAGAGAAAGAGGAAGGGAGGAAAAGGAGAGACATAATTATGTCTGTGAGCTAAAGTAGTTTGGTGGCTGAAGTATTCACACTGTGAAGCAGAAGAGGTCGCTGGGTCCTTTGAGTCAGGGGCCTTCTTTTCCTCCTTCTGCCAAAGACCAGCTGCAGTCACCTGGGGGCTGTGGTCCTGTGGTGCTCAGACAAATGAGGGCAACGTATAAAGCTGCACAGGGGGTTTGCCGAAAGGGAAAAGAGTGAGGGAGGAGTTGAACCCTCCAACCCACTGCAGACCTTTCAGCAATGGTGCTAGAAGCATGGTGTCAACCACATGGAGGATAATAGGACTGCAGCCGGTCACAAACAGCCCTCCCTGGTTGTGGGAGTGAGCTTCCTTGTCCTTGTGCCCACAGCTGCTGCTTCCTTAACTCCTAGGTGCCAGTACCTTGTCCCATGCCTTCAGCCACCTACAGCTGCAGGCTCCCTCTTCCCAGCTCTGTTTCCCAGCCCCCTGCATCCTCCAGGGCTGCCCATCTCCCCAAGCCCTGCAGCCACGCTCATCTGTGCCCTTCAGCACCAGCCCTCTGGCTCACTGCCGTCCCCAGCCCTTTGCTTAGGGCAAGAGCAGCTGCAGGGTGCTGGTCCCATCCTTGGTTTCAGGGCTGGCCTCTGTGACCAGCTTTATGGAGTCAGCCTGCAACGTGCAGACGGGCCAGCGCAGCAGCGGGGGAGTGCACAGACCTGCCCATCCTTGGGGGTCTCCTCTCATTTGTTCCAGTGGTGCAGGGCAAGGGACCGCAGTCACAGTGGCCCTGGGGTCTGAGCACAGCAGCAGCACTGTGAGGGGAATGCTTTACCTTGCCCCGAACGCAGAGCTCATGGAGATGTCTTCAACACGAGCAGAGCAGGCAACTGCTGTTTATTTAACCTGTAACTGTAGACCTCTGTGTAGGAATGAATTCTATGCCCTGCTAGTTCCCTGAAGCCTAATGATTTTCCAAAGTCTAAATCAATCAATCAATCAATCTCCATAGTCAGAAATTCCCACAGACAGGACTCCTTAGCAAGGGGACTGAAGGCGGTGCGCTGCCTGTGCTCATGTGAGATGCCCCTCTGGTTATCCTGGAAAGCAGTAGCCAGCAGGAAGCTCATTAGGGCACTAAATATTCTTAAATGAGAATCACACAAAGACTTTGACATCCCTTTGGCTTTGCTGCGAAGACTTCACCCAGCTTTCAAAAATAATTCATTCATTTCTAAACAGCAACAGCAAATGTGGGTGATAAAAAGTCACAAATACTGTTGTTTGTTTCTGCAGCACTACAGAGAGGGAACAGTTGTTCATATTCCTAAGGAAGAGTCCTTTAGCATCAGTCACTTAATGCTTCTCTTTTTGTAAAAAGTAATATATTATAACAAAGTTGCTGAAACAAACTTCAGCTCATTTCAGATCCTCTAGAATGGACTTTCCTGTGCCCTGGGAACACTGCCATGTGCGGTTACATGCAAAAGCAGTTCACCACAGATACAGAGCTTTAATCCAAACACGTGAATCTTTCACCAGAAGTGGTCAGGCTTTCTCACCAAAGAGAAGAGCTACATAAGAAATTGAGAAGCTCATAGTTTTTCAGCCATGTCAAACGGGCCTGACAGCTTCAAACTTCAAAGCCATTTTCATAGAGGGTAGACCCCCAGGGATATGAACCTCTGGTTTTCAAGATACCATCATCAGAAGGGAGAGCACTTGACACAGCCTCAGCAGTCCAGAGGATATGACACTTTCCTTGTCATCATATCTATTTTATTTGCTGGAATTTTTTTGCTTATTTTTCATACAGAATAAATTATTTAAATTATTTCCAGGTTAGAGTAATTTTTCCAGGGGATTTTTAAATCCGCTTGAGGATTGCTATCGTATGACTGGCTAGTGTAGAAAGTGGTTGGCCACTATGGTTCTTATCTTAGGGTTGTGTCGATTTCAGCATTTCTGGAAAAGAAGTTGCTTTCATTTAGGCTTTACTGGCAATGTAAAGGCAAGACTATTTAATCAAAAATTCTTTTTTAGACAGTATGCCTGTAAAAGCATAGACTGTGAAATGTGTTTCAATTTGGAGCTTAAATGCAAACCACGAATCTTTCAAACGGGAAAAAAATGGAGGGAATGGAGTTATGTGTTAATGAACTGTGCCTAAATAAACTTAAGAGATCATTTTAACAGTTTCTAAAACTCCTAACAGCTTTGTAAAGAACTGTAAAACATGGGGATAAAAACCAAATTTGTGCAATGAAAAGCAAATGTAACTGAATAATAAATATATTTAGAGTTATACTTTTTGATACACGCAAAGTTGTTGATTTCTTATGATCATTGTATTCTTGAAGCGACTAAAAATGAAGCTGAATCAAGGTCAGCAAGGAGTGTCACCTGCTGTCTATTTTGGTTGCATGAAGTTGTGGCTTTACATTACTAGGCAGGTTGTACACAGTCTATAATGTGCTGCGGGCTTGTTTTCTTACATCTTTCAGATCTGCCCTTGATGCTCCAAAAGGGTGGCCATTTCAAACCGTCCTGCGTCACGCTGCTGTGTGCATTGTCTTGAGTAAACTGAATCCCCCGGAGAAGCACTACTGCCCGGTGAGGTGTTTCCTGACCACGCTGCCCTGCAGTCCCAGCGCTTCTCTCGTCCGATACACTCTGGCCAGGCTCTTTTAGATATGCCACGTGAGGAGGGTTTAGTGTGTTACTACCAAATTTACGACTTTGAAGACACTTGATTTTTGACAGGATTTTGATTTAGGGGAGTGAAGCAGCAATGACAATACAAGCACAATATCCAGTTGGATCCCAACACAAATGAAATTCCCATTACTGATCTCTCTGTGCTCACTGTCATGACGCTGACTATCTCCAGCCACCAGAAAGAAATATTTGGGTTGAAGCCAGTTCAAGCCTGGAGCTCTCTTCAAAGTTTGGTTGGTTGGTTGCCCAGTTCTTGCACTTTAAGTTGGGCTGAGCCCCATGCTGTTCTGTCTGGCTGAGGAAGACATTCATGCTTTTTGATTAACTCAGGCCACGTACACAACCAGTTGACCACTCGACTGATACAGCAATTAATCTGAAACAAAAGCCGTTCTCCACTCCCTTTATCACTGAGATAAGTTCAGCTGTCTTTACAACAGCTGTGGTTGCTCCTTATGCTCTTTCCTGAGTATCATAAGGAATGATTACCGGAATGGGCATCAACTGTTCCCCTCTCTGAGCCTCCTTCCACTGTAAGGGTTTGTTGATCAGTCAAAGCTTTGGGCTTGGAAAGATTAACACCTGCATTCAGGATGTAACTTCCGTTTGATAAAACGTATTTTAGGTCAAAATAACCCAACCAGGTGAAAATTGCTGAAGAAAGTCTGTGCTGGGAACGTTGTGCACCAGCCACGCAGTCAGGACACTGTGCCCTCCTGGTGGTCCTGTCTTGTGAGGGACCTTGCAGTGGGGAGAGTGGCCAGGCAGGCAGTGCCCTAGGACAAGTTCCTGGGCACTGTGTCCCTCCTCTGGCACTGACAAAGCCCAGGAAATGGCAGCAGTGGGCAGGTCAGTGTGGAGGGCAGAGGAGTAGCCTCTAGCACCTTTGGTGTCCTGGGGTTATGGCCACTGAGCCACAAAGAGAGAGTGAAACGCGGTGTTACTTGCCTGCTGGATCTAGAGCCTCAACACACCACGTCTTCACCCTCTCTACTCCAGGCCAGCTGCCAACTGCAAAATAAACTCCACTCAAACCTATGCCGTAGTTGTCATTCTCATTTCGTCTCCCACCGCCAACAGTCTGTGCTGTTGGTGTGCTCAAGGAGCTGTGAGCAGAAGCGAGCATGGAGTTGGTCCCCCCTTGCTTGTCCTGCAGGGAGAAGCAGCAGGTGACTCTTGTTGGCCCTGGGCTGGCCAGCAGCCATTCCTAGCAGTGGGGCAACTGCAAGGGAGCGCTGGAGCAAAGCCCTAGTGCCAGGAATTGCCTTGGAGCAGGATCTCAGAGCCTGTGCTGGGGTCACGCTGGTCTTGTCCACAACCTGCTCATACGGGGCAGCCCAGAACTGGACTTCGCACTCCTCCACATGTGGCCTCACCAGCACTGAGGAGAGAGGAAGGACAACTTCCCCTGACCCACTGGCAATGCTTTTTCAGCTACGGCTCAGAATACTCAGCCATTTTTGCAGCAAGCCAGCAGTGCTGGCTCAAGATCAGCTTGTTTTCCAGCAGAATCCCAAGGAACTTCTCAGGAAAGCTGTGTGCTAGCTGCGTAGTCCCCAGCATGGGGCTACTCCTCCACAGTTGCAGGTCTGTGCAGTTGCCCTTGCTGAGCTTCATCACATTCCTGCTTGCCCAGTAGTGCATTTCTCCTGTCGAGGAGTGAGCCCTGAAAGTAGGTAGTAAGCATACCAAAAGTGTGGAAAAAATACCTAAGTGGATACTAGGACATGGAGGTACTAAGCAGTTGGATCCCTTTTGCAGCATCGCGGAGGAAAGCGGTAACAACTCTGACACTACTTTTAGTGTCCCTGTCTCCAGTTTTGTTTCTTTAGCACCCCTAGAGTGGGAGTGCTCAGCCAACAGGCCATTAATAGCAGTGGCCTGAAGCATGTTGACAGAGATTCCCTTTTTTGTGAGGACACCTCAAAGGTGAGTTGAGAGTGCGTACCTTGGTGTGAGTATGGACTACGTGAATCATCAGCTTCCTCCTGCTAGCTCTCACCAGCCTGTTTTGACTTTCTTCTCTTCTGAGAGGGATGATCTAACTGCTGGTCATGTGGTGAGTGCTCAGCTAGCGGTATAACATCGTGTTCAGTGGATACTTCTAGGCCATCTGATGGGGATGACTGATCCCTATCATCATCTCATGGGGATCATCATCTGATAGCGTTTCTGTGAGCAGTGTTCGTTTCATCCTGTAAAAGCAAGAGTGTACAGCTTTTGGTAGTTTCATGGCAAAA